TCTTTTTGAACTAAAAAAATTAGGGATTTAAATAAATGATAATTAAATAATAAATCAATGATTAAAGAATTAGTTATATAATAAGGCAAGTTGCCAACCATAATTAGCGAATTGTCTTTGTATTGAGAACAAAAAACAGGTCAATTAATTTGTAAAGCGTCCTGATGGAGATAAATAATTTTGTCATTTTGATTATTTTTTTCTAACCACTGAAATAATTTTGGGTCTTTTTCTAAACTTATAACTTTTTGACAACCAGTTTTGGCTAATCAATTAGTTAAACTACCATAACCACTGCCGACTTCAATTATTACAGTATTATTATCTATCGGACAACTACCCACTATTTTTTGGAGGTAATTTTGGTCAAAAAGGAAGTTTTGCCCAAGTTCTTGCCGAGGTGGAAAAATAATTTTTGCAATAATAATATTTTTACTATTTTTTTAAAGTAGTTTTAACTTTAACTCAGAATTCTAAATCCAAGCCAAAAAGCAGCCAGATTCCATAAAAAATGAAAATAGATAGGGTAAGTTATGTTTCATTTACTCTTGCGATACACTCAAATCAAAAAAATGGTTATTGGCAGGTAAGTAAGAAGTAAGAATTTAATAGTGGTGAAGTTTAAAAGTCCGCCTCCCACGCCCAAAGTAGGACCAAGCCAATGAAGGAAAATAAAACTTATGCCAGAAAAAATGTAGGCCAATGGATTATCTTTGTCAAATATCTCAAAAATTAGATAGCGAAAAACACATTCCTCGATGATTGGAGCCAGAATAACGATAAAAGCAAAATTAAGGAAATAAATAGAAATAGGTTCTTTTTTACTTCCGGTGGTTGGCTCTCTCTCTCTCTCTCTCTCTCTCTGCGGCTTCTTTTTTTGCTTTTTCTAATTGTTCTTGGGTAATTACTTTTTCCTCCAACATTTTGGCTACTACCTCTTGCTGTTGTTTTTCAACTATTTCTTGCCTTCAAGCCTTATTAGCCAGCAAGGAAAAGCCAAAAATAGCGGTTCCAACCGCAAACATTATCATAAAATTTATTCTCTCTGACGGTCAATTGCTAAAACCCCAACTTCACCAATTTTTAAGGGTGCTTCAAATAATTTTTCTTTGACTAATAATGACAAATACCGCACAAATAATCATGGGTAGTTGAAATTTAAACTGTTTTCAGGCAAGGGCTCGCTGAATGATATTCATATTATTTATTTATTTTTACTTTATGGTAGCAGCGAGAGGATTTGAACCTCCGACCTAACGAATATGAGTCGTTTGCTCTAACCAACTGAGCTACGCTGCCTTCATAAAATAATTTTATTAAGAAGCCCACATGAAAAACATGAAGATTTATTTCCGTCCGACTCGTTTCCGATTTTCTAATGACCCAGTTTCTTGCTGGGAAGAAAACAAAGAATATTATATTTGTTTTTTGGTTAGTCAAAACCTATGAAGCCTTTATTTTTGTGATAAAATTTGAACTCGTTTATTAGTTCCGAAAGATAATTCGACTTTTAGCAAGCAAATCGAGGAGATAATTGACAAAAATAAGGTGGAGGGAGAATTATTCACTACTCCTTTTACGAACCTAAAATTTAAACCGAATTTCAGTGAAAAGGTAGAGAAACATTATGAAGGAGATGCCTTATTAATTAAAGACCCGAACCAAGTGGAAAAATTGACAGGAACCAATATCATTGATATTAAAAACCAACACCAGCCTTACCAAATTACTTTTAAGGTTTTGAACCAGCACAAGGAGGGATATGGATATGGGAACGGAAAAAGATTATCTTACCAAGAAAGTTTTTTAAAATACGGCGACTATATTCATGTTCTTGAAATCGAACCGCTCGATTTGGGAATTGAGGATTTACCACCAATTAACCGTTTGTCTTTTACTTTTGCTAATGAAATTAATCCCTTAGCCGAGGGCAATTTGGAACTAACTAAATGTGAATTATACAAAAGTCCAATATTAGAGAACTCAGTTGGCAAAACTTTTACCATGCAAGTTGAGGAATTTAAAATTTATGAAACTAGTAATACTTTGTCTTTTTCTAGTAATTATCAGTATGTTTTTGGTTC